TAAGCTGACTATATTCACTGACCTCATCTCCCCCACGGGAAAGCTCATCTCCAGACTAGTTTAGAGAAGTGTGTAAATAAGGATGTATATTCACCAACTATACTAGAGTCGTGTTTTCTTGCAGCGTCTTGTTGACTTTGACTGTTCATAACTGTCTTAGTCCCCTCATCATTTAGAGGAGAAATTCCAAATCTATTTTCCAACGTCGTGATTGCACTCCAGGGCATTGAAAGCATCTCTAAGGCCTGGTCCTCAAGGTCTGAGACATGCCCAGTCTTAGGGGAAAAGCCGAAACTCTGACTTGGTTTTTCCTGTAGACTGGTCATAAGTTAGGCTGTGGGTCTGGCAGAGGTTGGCAGATGTTAGGATAGAATCAGAGCATTAGAAGAGCTTGATGTTAGTGGAATTCTTTGATGTTTTAGACTGAATTGGGCCTGAGGACATGGACTACAACTCCCTAAATGTATGAGATTAGTATTCACTTATACAGCAAACACTGATTAAGCATCTGCTGAGACGACAAGACATAGTCATACTATTATAAAATGTTAGCCCAACGGACAAGCGTGGTACATTGAAGGGATTGAAATGGGTAAGTTGGAACAAAATGTGTATTAATTGTTGAATGTAAACCCCAAACCTGCCCTGTGCACCTATAAATCCCCAAAAATGAGAGAAACATGGAGGCCAGGTTCAGAAGCAGCTTTACATTTTGTCTAATGAATATGATTTTCTTGCTCCTTTCCCCAAAGAAATGAGGGAGGGGCCAAAATACTCTTAAGCCAAGCCTTGTATTGGAACGGGAAGATTGAAGACCAGGCAGGACTGGTGTCTGACTGAGGTGACTGGTGCACCTATTTTAAAGTGACAAATGGGCTACGGCTATCAAAGGCTTGCATTGCTCAGATAAACCAGTCAAGGCTTCTGGGTATGACTTTGTCAGTTCTTGTCATTTACATTGCAGTCGTCTTAAATTTGTGTATTTTTATATTTATTATCACAATTTTCCAGCAGATGGCAGTCGAGTATCTTGAGGAAGAGGCACCTTTTTCTTATTCACACAGGAACCGTGGCATTAAGCCACTGGATCTGGCAAGACGCACGGGCAGAGCATGAGAAGGTTAAGGGAGCAGGATGAAGAAGGAGCAGATTTAGGACCAGATTCCTTGATGACAGTGGCAGGGAATTCAGTAGAAGAGATAGTGAAGAAAGAGCAAAGGAAATCACCTCCTTTTTACTGATGCCAATAGTCTTGCCCATGGCACTACCTCCTGTGACTGCTTTAGCTACTGGTGCGAGAGATTTGAGTGTGGCACACTAGCATGCTTCTCAGAATTGTCTGCAGTGGATTTCACTCGCCCGTCCCCACATGAGCACAGTTGTGTGACGGCACCGGACAGCAGGGCAGTGCAGTGCTCTGTTGGTCAGTGTCTGGGAGTCCGAATTGACCTGCTGGCACTAGCAACACATGGTCCATTTCAGTGAGGTACCCTATGTACTCGAGTATAAGCCAACCCGAATATCAGCCGAAGCACCTAATGTTACCACCAAAACTGCATTAAAAACTCAGCTTATACACGAGTATACACAGTAATAGCTCATCTGTAGTTAGAAAATACAGTAGTGGGGAATTTTCAGTTGTGACACATGATCCTGCCACATGGGTCATTGTTTGGATTTCCCCACTGGATGACACAAGCCCCACCCCTAGGGCTGCTTCTGGTAAATGAAGAAGTGGAGAGAAATGGCTGTTAGCCTGTTAGTTACCATGGACACGCTTCTGTGTGACGCTTTCATTTTCCTTTCCTGCCCTAGCAAATTCCCCTCAGAATTCCCTGCATCTTGGCACAAGGGCCAGAGCCCCGACGAGTCAGGAGCGCCAACTCCAAATTCTGGCTCAGCTATCAGCTTATTTGTGATCTAGGTTGAATCACTAACTTCTGAGTTCTGTTAAAGCAATAAAACAGAGTGCTGCCCATCTCAGTGGGTTACTTTAAGAATTAAACAAAAGAGTAAGTTGAACAGTAGTTTGTAAGCAGTCGACGTGCGTGTGGTGTAGAAGAGTATTTGAAGCTCTCACTGCTCGGGCTCCGTAGTGCCCCATTTATAGAACTCCCCTCACACGAAGGTCTTGGCGACCTCACCTGAAGGTTACGACAAGAACTCGGTGCCTAGAAAGCCAATAGGAGCTGTACTTATTTTAGCTTTAATGTCATGGTTTTGTATTAGGGCATGGGCCTTCCGGGCTCTCTAGCTCCCACCCCCACCTTACCCCCACCAAGAAAACCACTTGGGCTGCCACATAGTTGGTCTGAGTCTGTGCGGTGAACCCTTTTTCACACTGGTATTGCACGTCTTCATAGGAGATGTCTTTTCTCATCAGGTAAAGAGAGCTGCTTCGAGAGAATTGTGTCAAGATTCGGAAAGAAAGTCACATACGTAGTGATTGGAGATGGACGAGATGAAGAAATTGCAGCTAAACAGGTAACCGTGGTAAACAAAGGGTGTGGAGGGGTGGGTACGTTGAGCATGCGGAAGATAATTTTTAGCTCCCAAGTTTTCAGTCTGCGTTTGCAGTGTGCTCTCATCCCTCCGTTCTAAAGAAGAAGAGGAGGGTCCCATTTGCCCCAAATGGAGCGTTCCCGCTAAGTTAGATCTCTCTCCCGTGCTGCTGCCACTCAGAAATTTTTAAGTCTTTGAGCCCTGCTCCAGGGACTGCCATCATTAAAGCTGGCATGGGCCCTACCTTCTGTAGTCATCTTCCAGAGCAGTGTCTTTGTCAAGAGTTTCATGCCGAGAGCATTTGCAAGAAGGAAAGTCATTCTGATTTTTCCAGATTCTGAAAACAATTAAAGTCAATGGGTGTTGTTTCTGTAAAGAAAGTCCTTTCTGCCTCGGAGCTCGGGAAATACTGTTCTGGGTTCAGTTCACCCCACTGTCCTGCAGCCCCACTCTAGATCATTCCTGGTTGATACAGGAAACCATAAATGACATCAAAGTCTTGGCTATGGAATCTTAAGTCCAGTGAGTTCAGATTCTCCCTCAGCCCTTTTCTTAGCTGTGTCTTTGAACAGTTTATCCTGTTTGCATGCCTCCTCTTGTTAAATGGTCTGCGGACGTTCTTTCCCTGCCTGCCTCGGTGGGGTTTTTGGTTTTTTTTTTCATAGTAACTGTTCCTTCCATTTGGAGGCAGTAGGTTATCTACACGGACCAGCTGTGTCCTGGTTCTCTTCCTTCGGTAACTTAGAAGCCTTTAGCAACTGAGATTGGTAACCACGTGGCCTTTCATTTTAATTTGCCACTTTATGTAACAGTTCCAGGACCTTCATTGTTATGTTCAGTTGGATGTTTCTTTCTGATATTATTCCTGGAGCTTTGATTGGAAAGTGCTGCTCTGAAATATCTGATTGGGCTCTTGGAGGAAGGCATTAATGGGTAGGGGCATCAGTGCAGCTCAGCCTGCACAAGAAGAAAGCAGGGACGAGCCGCCTCCTGTCCCTTGCAGAGTCTATGTCTCTGGGCTGGGTCGGTCATCATCTCCCAGAAGAACATGCCCGCTGGGAAAATGCCCTGGAGCGGCTTTCAGTGTAGCATCCACCCCGACAGGAGCCTTGCTAGTCTTTGTTGAGGACACTGCTTTCCAGCTAACCTGTTCAAGTTGTGAGGGCACCCTCCCTTCCATTAAACTGAACTAATCTCTCAGACCCTCCTAAGGAACACGTAACAAGTGTGCTTCCGTATAGTAATAGTCTTTTCTATACGATGTGTCAACAGCTGCCTTGAAAAGCTCACGGAACTTCATGCCAAAAGAACTTTGTTCTAGGGCCTCGGTATTCTGAGTAACTTGGAACCGACGTGAACAAGACGATCCATAAAGCTGATCTGCTTCGGAGAACCTGCTTCCTAGCGAAACCTTAGGTTTATCACAGCCCTTTTTGAAATGGTGGCTTCCAGAATGACACGGTCATTGGTTCTCACATCTGAATGTGTTTCATCTTGGCCATGGACAAGATGCCTTGTCACTCTGAAATGTATGGGAAATGAAAGGGAGGAAGTGGCATGTGTTGTTGCTAGGTGCCCTCGGTCAGTTCTGACTCGGTAGCCTGTGTTCCACAGACAGTCACGCCCGGCCCTGTGTCAGCCGCACAGTTCTGAGGCTTGAGCTCATGGTGGCAGCCACTGTCGAGGGCCTGGCTCTTTTCCACTGACCCTTCACCTTCTCCAGGGACTGGGCTCCCCTGACAACACGTCCAAAGTACACCCTGGCCTCTAAGGAGCATTCTGGCTGTACTTGTTCCAAGACAGGCTTGGTGGTTCTTTTGGCAGCATGGTACTGTGAATGTTCTTCACCGTCATTCAAATGCAGTGATTCTCCATCCTCCTTACACATGCACCTAAGACGACTGGAAACACCTGGCGTGGGACAGGCCCACCTGAGTCCTCAAAGTAACATCTTTACTGTCCGACACTTTAAAGATTCACCCATGTTATGGGTCATTTGATCTCCCTAACTGCCGCTTCCATGAGCTAATTAATTGTGGATCCAAGCAAGACAAAATGCTTGACAATTTCAATGTTGTTCTCTGTAAAAATGTAACATACTCATGCCAATTCTTATCCAGGTCGTGTTGTTTGCTCCTGGAGATCTTGATAGTCTCTAGATCAGCTCTTTCCTTTCATAAAAGGGCAGTGGAAGCTAAGTTACCACTGAAGCCTAATAAAGCGCTTCCTCCCGTACCATGCCCTACAGTACACACACCTCCTAACCCTGATCGCCCTATAAAAGGTGGGCTGAGTCCCGAGGAGAAAGAGGCCTGGGCAGGTGCACAGGTAAGTCGAACTCCCCAAGGACAGCAGACAACCAACTTTCCTCTCTGTCTTCCAGCACAACATGCCCTTCTGGAGGATCACAAACCACGGAGACCTCGTGTCCCTCCACCAGGCTCTGGAGCTCGATTTTCTTTAAAAACTGGAACCAGGAGCCTTCCTCATGAGCTCCTCTTCTCTCCCGAAGGGGGAGGTAGGGACCGAACCAACAGGGAACACTCTCTCTCTCTCCGTTGGACTGCTGGCGAGAACACAATCAGGGGCCGCTGCAAGGGCTGGAACCAAGCGTGGCCGCAGAGCCACCTTCATCCTCAGCTGGAAACGGGACGCAGTTCCATAAAGAGAACCATAGACTCACCACAGCTTTAATGCTTTTGATTCTAATCGTTTCTATTTTGTTGTTGTTTCCAAAAATGAAGACATGGAAAAGGAAATTCTTGGGGCTGAGTTGCCCTCAGCTTGTGAGCAGGTTTAACTGTGTTAAATTTTTGGTGACTGGATAAACGCCCCGGGCTTTTATAAGAACATCTCTTGTGGTCTTTATAGTCTCCTGAGCTGTAGAACCTGTTCCCAGTGGATGTGTGTTATTTTTATAGGAAGGGGCCTGGTCTCTCAAGCCGATTTCCACCCACCCACCCACCCCTGTTTTCTTCTGGCCAGAAAGGGATGTGTGATGTTTCCTTGGAGATAGCGATTGAAAGATCTGAAATTCGTCTCAGTGACGGTAGCACCTCTGTAGCTGCTCCAGTGGGTGGGCCGAATGGTGGGGCACCGGACACGGGCGAGCTTCAGGTTTGGGCATTCCTACTTTCAAGGCCTTGGTTCCTTTCCCAGGCTCTTGCTCAGACAGGACCTTCTGAGCTGAGTTGGGCCCATGTATTCAAAGGCTCTGTGCAGAAGACTTGGACTCCAAACAGAAGAGAAAGGGGACCAAGGCTCTTCGCGTATTTCAGCTAATGAAGAAAATGTCCCTTTGGGTTTTGAGCCCAGAGAGTCCACCGTATCCCCTACAGAGAAACCTTCCAGCAGCTGCTCGTCTCTCCGGCTTTCTCTCCGGCAGTCATCCCGCCAGGCTCCTGGGCTTCATACGTGCTCGCATGCAGTGCTGGCCAGCCCCTGCCCATTGGAGCCAGGAAGGCCAGTTTCACACAAGGCTCATGAGTATGTTTGGGTGAAAACTACCAATAGATGAGTATTTTACCTCTTTTGAAACCCCGTAAGGGTATTATGTGTAAATTACATAGATCTCTACCTAAAACTGAAGAACAGATAGCTATGGTCGAAACTCAGTTTTCCCATGGAACATCCTCTTCCCGCCTCTAATCTCACTTAGCAATGGGAAACCAGAGGGCAGAAAGACTTGGCTGGTTAAAGTGACAGTACTGGAACCCTTCTGGGTGCTCGCACAGTGTACCCAAAGAAGGTCAGTGTCTTCTCCCAGGCAGCACAAAGAGGGTGCCGTGTAAGCGCCTCAGGGAGAGGTGGTGTACATCCTCGGGGGTGTAGGCAGGGGGGCTCCTGCCCCCAGAGAGTCTGTATGTCCACGCGCAGAGCTTGAACAGCATGCAGAGGCCAGCTTACCAAGACAGCAGCACAGACAGACCGGCATGCACATTCCTTCAGAACTGTCAGAGTGCCCTGACTCCCAGCTTCAGGGAGAGGCTTGTGGAGAGGCCCTGACAGTGCCCCGTTCCTTCTCTGCCTCACAGCTTGCTTCCCTGTGGCATGGGGAACACTGTGTGATGCCGCCCTCCCTGCTCCAGTCAGTATTCTGGATTTGCTTGTTGGTTGATCCTAGAATACTCCTGAGTTGGGGTTTTAATTCAGACCCTAGCTGCCCCTCTGCTGGCAAGATGCCTGGCCGCATGCTGCCCGTTGATGCTGTGCTGTAGGTTGGTTAGGCTAAGGAGTGTTCACGCATCCGCTCACGCCCGCACACAAGCGTGTCTCCCTGGCTCTGATTCTTAGAATGTGGCCTGGACTCCTTTGTCAGTGCCCAGCTTAGCTCTTTCAAATGTGGTCTTCAGTTGAGTAAAGGGGAAGTGAGACGGCGGGGGTGAGGGGCAGGGCCGCACAATGTACTTTCTTGGTGGCTATGGGCCTTATCCAGAAGGTAGGTGGCACACAGGAGCACCGGCCGGCTCCCCTCTGACAGTGAATCAGGTGGTGAGCACAGTGCTCCCCCTCCTTGTCTTTTCTCACTGCCCGCGGGGCACAAAGAACTGGAAAGGAAGCTGTTGGAAACTGAGGGTCCAAGAAGGCTTGGGATTAGAAATGGTCAAACTAGCCAAATGCACCCGTCCCCGGGCAGGCCCAGTGGGTTCTGTAAGGCAGCTCTCCACATGGGCGCAGTGGTGAGGACTGTAGGGGATCAGTAGTTGCCAGGTGTGTCCTGGGTGACGGCGTGACTTTCGAATGTAAAACTGACTGTGCCTTCGCATCACCCTGTCCACTGCCTCCGGGGCAGCTGGTGGTGCCCAGGAGGACAGGCACTTGCTCCAGCTTTACATGCCTATATGGGCTTTGGTTTGGTTTGGGGTATCCCTGTCTTCTGCTCTACAAATTGGGGGGGGGCAAAGCTAGTATCCCAGGAGACTTGTGCCACAGCTTGTTCAGTTTACACAAACCCTGCTTTAACGCTCCCAGTACACTCCACTGCAGCTGCAGCACATGGAGCTTCTAGACGTCCACTACTGTGAATGGGCGTCAGTGCCACTGAGCCTCAAGGAGAGTCTGGGGGCAGAGCCACAAGCAGCGGGCTAAGCCCTGGGTGGTGGTCTTAGGAACTTGCTCTCATGCCTCCAGGAAGGGGGCAGTTAGCGCCCCTCTCAAGTAGGCTTCTATAACTTACCCCATGGAATCAGTTTCCTTAGCCCCCAGGTATTTACTCCATAGAAGCAAAATACGAATTCTGAGATTATGGAGTACCTGAAACCTCAAGAGAAAAATCTAGTTCTGCCCCCACCTTGATCAGTAGACCTTTCTCTGTCCTTTCTACTCTTTTTAGCAATCAAGGCTCCTTGGCTATTTCTAATGCACTGACAGGAGCCATCCCATTAAGGACGACTTCTCAAAATAGGACTTTAGGTGCCCCTTGGCAGAAAAGGGCATTGATTGGATTGGAAATATTTATGTGACTGCAGGCATTTGCGGCTGTAGAGTCCTTGAGCATAATGTTATATGTAATGGGAACTATCTTACAAACTTGAAAAAATAAAAGTTTTAATTTTCTATATAGTTTGCTCCTGTGTCTTTTCTGACTAGAATCAGCCCAGTAGGACCCTAAATAGGGCTTCATAAACATTCATTAATGTTACCAAAGGTGGAAACAAAAAAGCTAGCCATTTAGTGGAACTCAACGTACATGGGAAAGAAATAGGGCTATTTTAAGCTCATTTGCAAGGGAGAGTTGATTTGGTGTTTCTAGGCTAGAAGTTTTGGACTAGAATGATGAGAATTAAATTGCTGTCAAATGAACCAAAATTTTGGAAGAGAAAATTCAAGACCATGCAATGCTGAGCTTAAAGCAATACAACCGGCAAAGTGCTGTCAAACCTCATTTGATTGGGCCTGATTCCATGTCACATCATCTACTCTGCTCCCGTTTTATTTCTTCAGGTTTGGGTCCCTCTGTTCCGTACTGTTCAGAAAAGTCCGTCAAGAATCCTTTGGCCTTGTATTCTGATGAAAGCGATTAGAATTCTGTGCTAGCTTCCAAGTACCATCTGTGTCAGACTCTGTCCTCCCTCTTAATTCCCCAGAAGGTGTGCACTTTGAACTGCCCCGTCGTTGAATCACATCCAGTGCTTACTAGAGCTTCACTTGGTCATGGGTTCTAAAGCAGCAGCGGTTCTCAACCTGGGGGTCACGACCCCTTTGGGGGTCAAACAACCCTTTCACAGGGGTCGCCCGATTCATAACAGTAGCAAAATGGGGAGAAATGGGGAGGGAGGGAAATGAGTAGCTGAAGCCAGGGGCTTAAGTAGAGAGCAAATGTTTTGAGAATGATGAGGGCAACAAATGTACAAATGTGCTTTACATAATTGATGTATGGATGATTGTGATAAAAAGTTGTATGAGCCCCCCAATAAAATGATTTTTTTTTAAACCAGCAAAATGACAGTTATGAAGTAGAAACGAAAATAATTTTATGGTTGGGGGGGCACCACAACATGAACTGTATTAAAGGGTCGCAGCATTAGGAAGGTTGTGAACCTCTGATCTAGAGGTATCTGAAAGCAAGCCCAGATAGGAGTACCTTTAAATATGTCTACCTCACTCTACAAGAAGTGCATCATCTGTATGCTTCTCCAAGACCTTTTGATGGCAGGTGGTGGTGTGAGGTGAGTCGGTGCTGACTCATAGTACCTTATGTACAACAGAATGACACACCATCCAGTCTACTCCAAATACTGCCCTCCTCTTGGAATTCTTGACTGGGAAAATGCTAAACTCTTATTTTTAGATTGAACACTATGGGACCTGTATTGGCTAACATTTTGCAATTCCACCAACAAATTATCAGTAAGAATTTACCCCCCCCAAATTTTAGAACCATCATTTCCCCCCCCCTCCCCCACTTGGAGACAAATGGAGAATTGCCTAAAGCTGTGTGTCATCTCTTGGGACCTGTGTCATCTCTCCCGAGCCTCCTCTTTCCCATGTATCCAGAAGAAATGTGAAAAAGTGGATTGTTGGGTGCTCAGTCTAGGGATTTGTACAGGTCAGGCCTGCTCTCTGGGGTCTCCACCCTTAATATTGTGTCTCTGTGAGTAATGGGAAGCCTGGCAGCATAGTGGTTGTGTGTTGGGCTGCTAACTTCAAGGTATACAGTTCGAAACCACCAGCTGCTGCTCAAGAAAAAGATGAGGCTATCGACTTGTAGTCTCAAAAAACCACACAGTTCTACCCTGACCTATAGGGTAGCTATGACCTGAAAGAGAATCGATGGCAGTGAGTTGGTTTTTCTTGGAGTTTTTTGTGAATTAATTTTTTTTCTGTATAGGAGGGGGTAGCCCACCCCCAAAAAGAAAACAGACCGACCCCCCCAAGCTATGTATTTAAATATTTTTACAAAACAGCCTTATCAAAGTACTCTCCATTATATTTAATACATTTAGCAAACCTGCAATTCCATTCTTGGGAACATTTTTCAAACTCGTCTGTTTGGATGACTGACAGCACCTCCCTCTTTTTTTCCACCTCTTCTCCTTCAAATCACTGTCCTTTCATGTCCCTCTTCAAGGAAACAAGAAAGTCGCGTTGAAAGAGGGCAGGTGAGTCAAGTGCATGATGTTAAGAGAGGCATGGTGGTTTTGCCTCAAACTGGCACACTGAGATGGCTGTGAGCAGGTGCATTGTTGTGGTGGCAAAACCAGTCCCCCATCTACCACAAATCAGGCCTTTTTTGTTGCACCCTGTTATGCAGTCTTTTCAGAACCTCTAAATTGGCGGGTCTCAACTTATGAGAATGGGTCGCCCAATTCCTAACAGTAGCAAGATTATAGTAATGAAGTAGCAACGAAAAGTTTTATGGCTGTGGGGGGTCAGCACAACTTGAACTGTATTAAAGGGTTGTGGCATTAGAAGGTTGAGAACCACTGCTCTAAACAGAAAGCTTGATGAACAGTCTGACCTGGTGGAACAAACTCCAAATGCACTGCAAGTTGACATTTTTGTACCGTTCAGGAAGTTGACAGACATCCAGAATGAGGTTTGTCATCTATTGACATTTCACCTTTTTTGAAATAAGGAAGCTAATCGTAGACTTGAATTTTTCCCATAGCACTGCTGCCCGTGTTTCTGCGACATTTTTCCCAAGCAGGAAACAATTTCACAGCTACGTGCTTTTCTCTTAGATCGGCAGTCACAAAAAACAAGGTGCTTTCACGAAAAAATCCACTGTGACCAGGGAGAACCTTCCCAGGCAACGCCACTGGGTGCACTAACTCAGAGCGCGTTGCTGATACTCACCTAGTGGGAAAAACGCATACTACAAAAGCTCCACAACACCCAGCACAATTCCGGTTTGGGGGGTACCCCCTCATATATGCATGTGTTTGAGTGCATTTCATTAAAAGACGTATTACCTGTGAGATGATGAATTAGCAGAAGCTGGTACATTTTACAATGGCAGAGAATAGTCAGCCATCACGTCCTTTGACTTACAAGATGAGTGAGAGAATGGATTTGTTCTCCCTCCACTAGAATGAGGTGCGGAACCCGGGCTGTTCCATCCCAACTTGGAGGCCACGGGAACATTCCCTCCCACCTCGGGACCCTTTTTCTTGTTCTTTGCTTCTCCAAGGAGCCTTGATGGTATAGTAGGTAAGCGCTAGGCTGCTAACTGCGAGGTCAACAGTTTGAAACCCCCAGCTACTCTGGGCTCCTACCGGGTAGTTACAGTCCAGAAACCCACAGGGGCAGTTCTGTCCTGTCCCACAGGTTCACTGTGCATCGGCATTGACTTGATGGCAGTAAGTGTGGGTTTGAGTGGGGTTTTTTGGGTTTTGCTTCTGTAAACCAGACCACCTAGAGCAGCAAAAGGCCCCAACCTGCCCTGCTCTCTCACCCATAACCCTTTCATCATAAAACCCTTCCCAGCAAAAAGGCCTTTCTCCCGGAGGCTGGAAAACCACTTCTTGGAATTAGAAGTGTTCTTGGCTGCTCCTGCCAACCCCAGCAACAGAGCTGATGGTTGAAGGTGTGCACTGGGGTAAGCCCGGGTCCGGATCCACTGACAACACGGCCAACACCCCACAAGCTCACCAGCTCCAGAGCCCCAGCAGTTTGAAATCCCCAGTCACTGCGGGAAGAGATGAGCCTTTCTACTGTAAACTATTGAGTGTGTCCTCACAGGGCCCATAGTCAAAACTGACTGCATGGCAGGGAGTTTGGTTTTGAGTTTACCTGAGTCAGTAGCCTTTTGAGGGGAGACTTTCTCATCTCTTGACCCCTTCGTTCTAAGTAAGTTTTGTTTCATGGCAGAGACCAGGCCGGAAGAGTTCATGTGGATTTAATATAAAGGGAGTAATACTGTGAAACAGGAACAACACATACATGTCTCTCACCTATAGGTCAGGTGCAGACATTGTCTCTCTGGCACATGGACTCTGAGGTAGGAGGTACTCCTGAGGCTGAGCCATGGCCCAGACCCCAGGTTCACAAGGCGCTTGGTTGAAAGGCACTTCTGCAGAAGGACAGGCTGAGCCAGCTGCACTGTGGCCCTGGGGCTGACAGGGACTACCCGTGGTTGGCATCCCTGGCTTGTCCTTCAGCACTGGAGACCCTACCCACGAGTGGAGAGGGTGGGGATGAAGTCAGAGTTGCCCGACCTTGCTCGAGGTTCTAAGGCTAGAAGGGTGCTCCTGGCCCCGAGAGGCTCTCAATAAACACTGACTGAGGATGCTGGGTGAATGGGTGGGGATAGAAGTCTAGATAGCATACGCTGCAGGTCCTGAGCCTTCTCGTCTGGGAGAGGGGGCCCAAGGGTGGAACAAACAGTATCTTTGCTATGTTAGAGGTGGCCAGGGAGGTAGAAATTCTCAGGGGCCACCTGTTACATAGGCTGCGGGGGG